CTCTTAACTTGTTCACCAGTATGGGGTGGGATACCGTATTGAAGGCCTTCCTGAAGTTTAAGTATATGACATCCACCCCTCCTCCTGCATCCAGGCGTTTCGTAACCTGGTCATAAAAAGAGACTAGATTGGTCAGGCACGATCTGCCTGCCACGAACCCGTGCTGGTTTCCCCTCAGCATAATTTGTCCTGCCGGGCTCTCGCATATGTGAGCCTTGATAATTTTTTCAAAGACTTTGCCAAGGATGGAGGTGAGACTGACTGGCCTATAGTTGCCTGGGTCCTCCTTCCTCCCCTTCTTGAAAATGGGGACCACATTGGCCCATTGGGTTCTACTGCCCCTGGCTCCTGTCCTCTTTGGCAGGCAGCCAGGAGCAGATAAATATTAATTTTCTAAAATTTTGGTGTGTCATGGGCTGGATAGAATGGCCTGGTGGGCTGGACCAGGCCTGCTGTCTGTATATTGCCTGTCCCTTGCCTAGACTGGCTTTCCTGTGCATGCTGATCAGTGACTCTGGCCTGGGCTGTGGTAGGAGAAAGATTCTCTTTTCTCAGAGTCACTTCCCCAACCCAGACTTGGTAGTGACTCATGCCCATATTACAACACTGGCAGAAAGGAGCAAAACTTCTACAGCCTGTGGAAAGTACGTGGCCTTCAAGAGTGGGGTTTTGGTTTTGATTGGGGAGCCAGTAGAGGGAGGAAATTTTGAGGGCCCCTCCGCTAGTGTCAGTCTTGCTATGCCTGCGTATGCTACTTGCTTTTCCCCTGCAGCACACTCAGTGGGCCCCTGGGATTTTTTTCCTTTGGTACAGTGAGGTGCATGGGTTCTCCTTACCATGCTGATCTGTAATTGGGTGAAGTCTAAGAAAGAGGAGGAGTCTGGAGCCTGCTGCAGTCTGTTGGCTATGCCTTTGAAGGACTGAGGTCTCTACCTTAAATAGGATATATTGTAGCCAGCTGGTTTGTTTTTTTTTTTTTTTTTTTTTTTTTTTTACAAGGATCTCTGAGGAGTGGATCTCCTCATAGATCCCAGGATCTCTCTGCATAAATAAGCCACATCAGGTTCTGTGCATGAAATGGCTTCTGGCTTGGCCTGTATATAGTCAGGGGTAATGCAATGCTAAACCACAGGACTCCTAGTCCTGCTTCAGTAAGACTGTTCTGACCCCAGCTTCTGGTGATAGAGGTCTGCTTACTGAAGAGACCCTCTGGAGAAGGAAAGGAAGAAAGGGCATGTGTTGCTTAGTTAAAGCTTCTGACCTGAATATTTGGCAGTTCACATGGTAGCATAACTGGGAAGTGTGACTGGGGCAGCAGCTCTGGACCCTATGTCTGTGGTAAGGGGTGCAAAATAGTTGTGACCACAGTGGTGTCTGATTGCCAGTATGATCAGCACTATGGCAGCAAGCACTGATCTGGGCATCAGACAGCTGCCTGACTACGCCTTTGAGTGCAGGGACTCTGCACAGGTGACTGAAAGGGGTTTTGAGATGACTAAGAGGGCTGGGGACTGTATTGGTTGCTTCACACTTGCTGGAGATGCAAAAGGCCCATTAGTTCATTTAGACCAGCAGTTCCCAACCTTGTGTTGTGACCCAAATGAGGGTCGCGGGGCCAATGCTGGCAGCACTGCACACAAACAATGACCCGTGCCACATACTGGGAGCTCCCCTGCTCCCAGACCGCCACTGCACTCCGCTCTCAGCAGCAGGTCGCAGCAAAAAAAGGTTGGGAACTGCTGATTTAGACCTTTTTTCCTTGGCGAGAGCACTCAAGCTTTCAGGAAATGACCCCCAGGCCTTCTAGGTGACTCCCATTCTGTTCCTTAGCCTGCTCAGTCCTGTACTGCATGTTTCCTCTCCTCCCTTGCCCAGCTGCCCCTGAGCATTGCACTGCAGACCTGGAGACAGTCTTAGGGTTGTTGTCCAACTGATGCCCTCTAAGGAAAAAGAGGATGTGTAAACTTCAGATACAAACAAAGCCTGTCCTTGGCATCTGCCCAGCTTGCTGCATGAGTATAAATAAAAGGAAAGGGCTTAGTTACTAATTATGGTTAGCAAGTCCTGGAGCATGGAAGTGGGAATCATGAGGTGCAGAATTTCTTTATCATCTGATCTTTCTGGAATAACTCCTTCCTTCAGGTTGTCCAGGGGTTTGCAAAGGCTATTTAGGGACACTCCTTCAGTATCTCTTCCTGTTCATTGCTATGTTTGGTCTCATCCTCCCTTTTTCATTCCTTTGCCTGACTTTCCCTGGATTTTGGCTCCCTCACAACAAAGACAATATGACCAGGATGCGTAGAGAGACACGGAGCAATGTAGTCTCTTATGCATCTCAGACCCTGTAAAACTGGACAGGAACTTCTATCCTTACATTAAACCCCAAACTTTCCAGGATTGAAGGAGTTTGCAGCAGCATTGCTCTCTCTGCTTTACAGACGTTACAGCTGTGCCTATTAGCCTCTGCCCTGAGAACATCTCTGGTGGCCAGCTATGGGTCACCTCCAGCAGTCACAATGATGGTAGAATCTTGGAGGGAGCCAGTTCAGAGCAGGTTCACAGGGCATAGAAGTAAAAATGATGGCTGGCCATTCTTCCTATGGCAAGGCTGTCACTTTTTTTGGTACCATTGGTGGACTAGAACCAGCGTTAGCAATGGGAAAGCCTGATAAGGGAGGGGAATTGTTAAAGGGACCTATGGCCTAATGAGTTAAAAGAAAACCAAAACAAAGCCTAACTGGCAGGAGCCTTGGGTTCTAATCCGGTGTTGTTGGAGTCTTCATTTATGGCTTTGGGTAGGTGACTTGGCTTCCCTGTGTCTCTAAGACAGGGCTCACAGGATATTGTGAGATCTGATACGTTTGTAAAGCTCTGTGTGTATGAAAAGAACTCAGACTAGCTGTGAAACAGATGGGGCTAAAACTTATGACTTCCTGGTTCCCAGTCTTGGTTCCAGATGATATGGACAAATGCATCTTCTGTTTTTTTTAGAAACATCCAACCAGGGTGACACAATTCATGGCAAATTGTTTTTTGAATAGCTGAAATTTTGAATAATACCTTCAAATTTGCCAGGGGTTTTTTTTGTTTTGTTTTGTTTTTTTCCAAAAAAACCCCAAAAGGTGGAGAAGGCCCATCCAGATTTTAGAGCTCAGGAAATTTGTTAAGAGGTGCTAGGTCTTGCTGTGATTCTGTAACTTGTCACCCAGCTCAGGGAAGGAAGCCCTTTGTTCTGCAGGTGACTGCTTTCAGTGTGGAGCCTTTGTAGGAGAGATGGGCTGCTTATAAGCCCAGCTGTGGTGGAAAAGGGATATCTGCATAGTCCCAGGAAGGACCACAGCACAGGCCTTTTGTTGATTGCTCTTCTGTAGGATGAGCTTGCTATGTTATGATAGGTGAGAGGCAGAGACTGCACAGATGAATGTGGATTGTTTTGGGTTTGAGCTGAGGCAGCTGTGGGTAGAGGAAATGTGCTGACCTTTTCATGCTTCCACTTCCTATCCCTTTCACTACCAATGAAGTGTCCTGTAGCAAACTATATGCCCCAGAATGGGAGGGAGAGCAATGGAGCAGCCTCACCAGTCTGCTTCAGGTGCAGTCCTACCAGGGCTGCATGTTGTGAAGAACAAAGGTCCTGTGCAGCAGGGTGTGTTCCTTTCACTAGATCTTATTGGATCCCTTCCTCCTTTATCTTGCTGTAGGTTATTGACTCTGCCCCACTTCCTCCCAAACTCAGATTCCCCACGTGACTTTTGGAATGAAAATCCTGGCGTTTTCCTATGTGGAGGGCGTGGATCATGTCGCAACCAATTGGTTGCCCTCCCCTGTGCTGCATGTCTCAAGAGCGCCTGCCTTTGAAGCAGGGACCTCCCAGGTCATTGAGTCCAAAACCTGCTATTATTGGCAACTGTGCATACAGTCCCTCTCTTTAGATCTCTGCACTATGCTCATCACCATGGCATTGTTAATACATTCTGTTTACTGTTGGTAGAGGTTGAGCATGTGGGAGGAGTGGAATCCCCTCCCACTGGTGTCCCTGCATGCATGTCCAAGTTGTCCTCCAAGCCCTTTGAAAGCAAAAAGCCTTCACAAATGTACATTATGAGATGGGGGATGCCCACTGTACCCTGGGGGAGACTGAAGCCCAGGTGCAGAGGCAGGAATCGGTGTCTGAGTTGGGATTAGCGCTCAATTATTTGTCCCATGGGTCTTTCCTTGGGGTTCTAGGTTGCCTCTGTCTACTGTACTGTGGTGTTTCCTTCCATGACATCAGTCTTAGGGAGAGAGAGGATCAATATAGGGGAGGGTTTTGTTTTTTTTTGTTTGGGCTGTAAGGATTTCGGATGTCTCGAGGCAGGGACTTCAAACCATGGGTTTATCTGGCACCCTCATATGCGAGTTCTTTGTAATGACACCTGTAAGCCTCCTTTTTCCTCTCCCTGGTGCTGTCATGAAGATCACTGAAGCCTGAAAGAGAAACCAACTGGAAATGTAAATGACTTCCAAGAAGAGAATTGAATGGATGTTTGCAAGCCTTGTCCACCTGAAGAACTGTTCTCAGTATTGCCCAAAGTGAGAATTTAAGCCATTATGGTAACACTGGTAGAGCCCTATGTGGACAGTCTAAGGAGACCTCCTTTGGTTTGGCTTATGCCACTTAGGAAGGGGACTTAAAGCAAACCAGAGCCACTGGAAGAAAATGTCCACATGTTACACCAGTATTACCACAACAGTTTACATTCTCATGTTGGGTGATACTGAGAAACCAAGTGGACAAGGCCCATAACAGTCAGTTCAATTGTCTTCTCAGAAAGTCATTTACATTTCCAGTTGGTTTCTCTTTCGGGTTTCTGTGATATTCGTAAATGGTAAAACTTTCCCATGTAGACAAGTTCCTC